ATAAATCTCAACTTTGTACTTTTGATACTCTTGAAATTGATTTTTGAATGTTCTTGTTTTCAAAGTGTACCGACTTGAGAAGGTTCAGATATTTTCGAGATATTAGAACTTGAAGTTGCAGGGAAACTATTGCAAAAAAGTTGGAAGGAATGCAAGAAGGTCTGGAAGATGATTCTAGGGTGTCGTTTATTTCGAAAGAGTGTTTTGATGAACATGAGAATGAACATGAGAAGGTGCAGATACAAAGAGCATCATCAAAATTGAAAAATGAAAGCTCACAGGATGGACAACTACTAATCGGTAGGATACGGATTTTTTTCATCTAATTTTTGCGCGTGATTACTATATAGACCATGCACGGTGAAATATAATTAACCTTATGTTCTTCTCGGATATGATTGCGCTATGCCTGTGCTAGGCGAACGACTACTGTAACTAGAGTTTTATGGACCTGAAGAGGAGTTTAGGTGTTTTGACTAACTCGATTGAAGTGTAGCCTCTAATGAAGCATTCAATTTCAAATCTGGACTTTGGTAAGGACTTTGGGCAAGTGACAACATAAATATAGCTAGAAACATTCCTGGAAAACAGAGAGCCCTTTCCTTACCATTCTCCAAATTTAAAAATTCTCTGGAGAAGGCTCTGGAGCAACTCGTTCCAGGGTACTAAAAGGACTAGGTTTTCATGAGATCCAGATTTTAGGAACATATCGCACTGAACTCTTTTTCTATCATCTAAAAATGATTTTTGAGCTCATAAGATCTACAAAATACCCTCATTCTCAAAGCCCTTACCTGACAAAATCCTGGACAAGCAAAGCTGCTTTTTGTTATCTGACTCAAAACTCTTTTGTGATCCAGATAAGTTTCTGGCCTGGAGCATCAAGATAACGGAATAATTTTCTGAACGACCGCCCCCAAAAAGATAAGACCGTGGTAATCATGATGCCCTGTATCAGAGGGAGGAGCTTATTGTGTAAGCATAACCCCAAACATCAACAAATTAGAAGAGTACATTGAAGCCACTTTCGAAATCAAAAGCACAATCAACTGACTAACTATGCATGAAAACGTGATTCTTAGCAATAATTAACAAGTGATCACACGATTCTGGGAATCATTCCATTCACAAAAACATGAGTAGTTTACCCAGGAGACCTCCGTTTGAGCAAAGCTTTATTATTGGAAACTATCCGTTTTCCGATGAGTCAGGAGTCACTATCTTTGGTATTTTTATCTCTCTCTCTCTCTCTCTCGAAAAAACGACAAAAAATGAAAAAAAAAGTTGGGAGATGACTAGACAACATGTGAGAATTAATTGCATATTTTTCATTTTCTCGCATTTTCGAGAAAAGGATAAAGATGATTGTAGAGTATGACATAGAAGGGAGAAGAAGGTTCCGGTTGAGATGTTTGATATACATCTTGATACACTCCGACAACTTCTTCTTATTTATTCTGACGTTTTGGAGATAGAGAGGGAGTCTATAGACAAAAGATCATGTTGAAAAAGAAGAAAAGAGCAAACTATGAAATGGGAAACTTTTTGAACTTTGTTAGTTAGGTGGTGGAGATTTTGGTTGGAAGAGCAAAGACTTGGGTTCGGTGGGGCAAAGAATCAGATAATTGAAAAGAAGCTGAAACTCAAAATCCTAGAATCTGGAATTTGAAACAGGGAAGTGCAGTTTGATGTGGTGGTGTTCACAGACTGGACATAATATTGCACGACAATTCAGTTTTTTGAGAAAATCTTTGGAAGTTTAGATATTAGGCTCCGTGCCTCACAAGAATTCATGAAAGCTTTTGAAATTCACGATCACTCATACACCTACTCTAAATGCTTACATCCAAAAATACCCCCACTCCACCCCCGCTTACTCACTCACAAGATGATCATTCTCCAGTCTATACCCTGTGTAATTTTTTAAACTACTCATTTCGGTAACTAGATACCTCGAATCACAAAAACCTAGTCATATGAAAATAACATAGAACAACTTCCGGAACCTTCTTCTTCTTTTTGTTCAATGATGAAAAGTTAAACAAACATCACAAGAAATTATGCTTAGGATGGTTGGAAAAAGGGAACCAAGGACAATGAACTTCCGGGTTTTACAAAGTCTAGGTAACGTTCGAGATTTCAAAAAATTGAGAAAGATTTTGCATCTTGGTTAGGGATTTAGCACAAAGTCTAGCTTTCAGAAGTATCATTTTGATAGAAAAAGAAGCAAATGAAAGTGCAACGGGATAGAAAAATTAGAATTCTCAAGCGAAATGGAGCAGCAGGAATAGACTCAGAGCATATAGTTTTTTTTTGTCTCTGGCGTATTCTTTCGTACTCGGTGCATCAAAAATTTATGCTTGTTTCCTACCAATTGATCTGAATTCACAAAGGTTTAGGCACAGAAATCAGTAAAATTGATTTTCTAACAAGGGATTTATCTTTAAACTAAACTGGAGGTCTGGAGTAAAAGTTTCTGTGAGTATATTTTCTCGAAGTTCTGGGTTTATACGGAGCCTGAGTCTGGAAGGGTCATCTGAAAATCTGACTTGCTCTCTCTTGATTATTAATGCGATGTGGCAATTCCAGATAAAGATTACCAGACTCTCAGTTCCCAGTGAGGGCTTCAGTTATTTTTGGACTGCGCAGAAATTTCAGGAAAAACCTTATATGACCCTTGGAAAATCAGTCGATAGCTCTCCGAGCTATCCGAGACTATTTTTATGTAAGGTGATCATTACTAAATGCTCTCAAACTGTAGAAAAACTCTAAACTCCCCTCAAATCTTAATGTGAAACTAGAACATGCTTAAAAACTCTACCGTTCAACAAAAAACTAAGTTCTGATCTCAATCCTTCCCATTTTTACACCCAAAAAAGCGAAAACCAAATCAAGTAAAAAGTAAATATATACTTTAATTTCACGGGGTGATAGATCAAAAACTTCTCACAAGAACATAAATTGGAGTAATCTGATTTATGTCTGTCCTCGTCAATTCGTCATTGAACCTTCATATCAATTGGGGTGGGGGGTCAGAGTTTTTAGTCAACCAAAGTTCGAAGAAATGGATTTGCAAACAAAAAGTGTTGTGACGACTTGATAATTAGTTTAGTTAGTGCATTTGTGCAATTTGAGAAGAAGAAGGAGGAGGAGGGGAAGGAGGATGCCTTCTTGGAAAGAAGGAGGAGCACATGACTATCATTAATCTGGAAATTTCTTTCTTCTTTTTGGGATTCTTTCACTTTTTGGACCAAGAAGAGAAGGGGAGACAAACATTCCAAAGAGCGAGCATTCCATTTGGGAAATGAAAAAAAGAGGACCCGAAAGATAATGAGATCAGGAAAATTGAATCAAAGTTTTAGATTCATTTTGACCTTATTTGGAAAATGAAATGTTAGTTTCAAATGAAATTTGGATACTTTGGCAATGGATCAGGAGAATTTGTGCAATCTGGCGGTGTCAGCAGGGTGTTCGCGGACGCGACATCATATCTGACGACAATACGCGGAATGCGTGGTGGTGTCAGTTGTGGTGATTGCGGACTTGGCATCAAATTTTACGACAGCTCAGAATTTTGATCAGAAGGTCGATTAATGTTATAAGTAGTTCCTCATGCACTTTTGTTTTCACCTTTTCAGAAAGATTTTCTATAAGAAGGGCACCTCATAAAGTCTTCCTGATCATCAGCTTGTTGGGCCTGATCTTGCCTCTAGTACAGATGATTGAATTAGAATCAGGTGAGGGAATTCAAAAAGTTTTTTGTGGTGCAACTAGACTTTGATGAGTGCTAATGAATCGTGTAACAATTCAAAAGAATAGACAGACATGCAACTGTATAACAGGTTTTTTGAAGAATTGGAAACTTATAAGTGAAGTGAAAAGCGGCAAACTTTTTTTTTGAAAAACTCAAAGAAAATTTTCAATTGTGTTGGAAATGGAAGCGAAAGAGAAGTCTGTCCGTTTGTCCGGAAATCTGTCCGGATATCAGCAAACTGAGAGGAAAGGGGAAGATCACGAGCAAAAGGAACACAAGTTTTTTTTCAGAACGAGGAGAAAAAACAAAAGGAAGCTCACGTTCTTTCAATTTGAATTTTTTTTGAAGCTTGCAAGTGGGCCGGAGGCGCGGGAGCAAGCTGGTAACAAAAAGAAAAGGAAGGGTTAGAAGACGATCAGAAATAATGAACGCGAGGATTCTCATGGGTTACTGTAGATCAAAAAATGCTCAGAGAAACTCTCACATCTGAAAACCTGTTCAACTGAAATCATGTAGAAAACATTTGCATTTCTTTAGCCTCACCTCAACAAAAATAGAGCCTGTTCCTCTTCAAAAACAGTGATTGTTGCTCATTATAAGACACCCCAAATGGGGGCGTCTCACCATTAAGTTTTGTTTATTTGTACAAGAGAGAAAGTGAACACATATCGAACAGACTAGATTCTTCTTCTTCTGTTATGGCTCATTAGAGAGGAACGTAGAGAAGTGACGTGAATAGAGGGAAAAGATCAGAATTTCATTCATTTTGAATTCTAAATTGGGAAAGATAAGGATACTTTCAGGGGAATTAAATAGAGTGAAGTAATCTTCTGATCTTAAAATTATTCATAAATTATGACTAATCTATATGACTTTTGAAGGTGGAGGAAAAAGGAGATAATTATAGTTTGACATGAAAACAACTTTTCAGGGGGTGCAATTCCAGCTGGAGGACTGGAACTGCCACGTAATAGAATAAGAAAGACTTCTAGCACGTGGGGAAACTAGGAATGTGGAAGAACTTCTGAAAAAGAATCTTGAAGAAAAATTTATTCATGATTTTCGTCACGAAACTAGAAATATGGTTTTCTTCTCGGAAAGAGCTCGTGATTCCATACGAAAAAGAACTAGCATCCTAATAACTGAAACCTAAAAACACAGTCACTTAAGCGCTCTGGAAAAACTGGAAAACATAGTAGAGAACTGTCAAAAGAGAAAAAAGCAAAAAGCAAAAAAGAAAAAAAATTGCCCCGAGTGGGATTCGAACCCACGCTGGTGTTACCCATTGAGATCAGGAGTCTCACGCCTTAGACCGCTCGGCCATCGGGGCGACCAGTCTGAAAAAAGTGCGTCTCTGGGAAAAGGTTATATGGTCGCTGTTTGCCTGCTAAGGAGGTCCTTTCCTATTTCCTCAACGTTTTCTCAGAGACGCACATTATTCAGACTCGCCGCCCCGATGGCCGAGTGGTTAAGGCGTGAGACGTTGGGAGGTCTCATTGGGAAACCAGTCGCGGGTTCGAATCCCGCTCGGGGCAAAGTTTTTTGTTTTTTTGGCGTTTTCGTTTGTTTATTTTTTGCCTGAAAACTCTGAACACCAACTTTTTACCCAATACTGCAAGCTGAGAGACTTTTCCTTGCTGAAGCGCCTTAGGCGCGCTATCCACATTCTGCAAAAAGCTGTGCAGAAGCGCCGGAGGCGCGCAGTTTCTCATTGTAGTTTTTCTTGGGAAGCGCCGGAGGCGCGCTCGCCTTAACTTTTTCTGTTCCAGAGAAGAAAATCAATAATTCTGACGTGCACCCTCATCCCCCTTCTTCCTCAAAAGCTTTCACGTATTTATTAATTTCCACGTGACATGCCCCGCCCCCTTTTGTTGTTTACAGTTTGACCTTGCCACGTGGCACTCTCGATGTGGATCTTTTCGAATCGAAATTCAATCAGTTCCAACAACGAATCGCCTGGCAAAGCAATCAAATCTTCTCTTCTGAAGCAAAAGAAAAATCAATCAAATGATGATCATGATGAAGAACATCCTTCTCATATTCGTGCTCCTTCTGGTGTGGACCAGCAACATCAACTGTGATGAAGACGTGACGAGTTGTGTTGGCGAGGATGTCAACGACCTCCCAGACACTTGCCTCAGCATCGACACGAGGCCACTGAGGATCAATGGCAATGTAGAGGGTGAGTAAGGGGAGAAATTAGAGGAATTTCGGAGAGCCACGTGGCATAGCTCCAGATTCCACGTCTTCAAAAAACCATGTCTTCCCTTCCACAATCTCGAATTTTCAGATTTGGTGCTCCGGACTAAGCTCAAGATGATCACGAAGATCACATCGGGAGTAGAGGTGACGGAGACACAGATTGAGACATTCGACTTCCTGCCGAATGTCATAATCCTCACGAGCAACGAAGGACCCGCCCTCAAATTCCATCGAAACAAGAAGCTCGCCAGAATGCAATTCCCGAAGTTGGAGCAGTTGAAGGGAAAAGAAGAGGCAATTCTCTTCGATCACGATCAATTCCCGACGCTGGCCACGCAGAATAAGAAGGGGTGAGTTGAATTCGAATTTTATTCCGATCTTGAAAATTCAATTGTTTTTTCCAGACTGGCGGATCTCGTGCGTCTGAGGGAGGTGGCAAAGAAGACGGCTGGAAGCGAAGGGAAGGTCACCTGCAACAACTTCCTGAAGGTCATCAAGAACGAGCCGCCTCAAGGATCCAACATCAACAAGGTTTTGGTGACTCTTGTGGTCATCTTCAGCGGCATCATTGTTGGCTGCGGAATCTCATGGTTATATGAACGAAAGTGTAAGGCGAAGAAGAACAAGGACGTGGAGCAGAAGAAGGACACGCAGAAGAAGTCAACCAAGATGCCAGTCCAGGAGAACCCCAAGAATAAGTAAAGATCCATCATGATCTCTTTTTTCAATTTATTTTTCATTTTATTTTTTAAAAGTGTTTGAAATGAATTTCTGTTTGTTCAGTTGAACTGTTGTTGTTAGACAGCATAGGGTGCCACAGAAAGAAAGGCGCAACAAAGCATATGTCCTCTCTCTATGCTCTCGTTGTTGCTCTTATGGCCTAGTGGCTATTACCGTTGTTTTCGAATTTTTCATCGCGGGTTCAATTCCGCGTGGTGGCAAATCATTTTTTCTTTTTATTTACTCAAGCGATTACAGAGTTGGAATGCTGGAAAACGTGGTCGAACTATGATTCATGATCAGGGATATCTTCAAAAAGGAACATTCTTGTGGTTTTTGGAAAACTATTTGATAAATTGACTTTCAAAGTTTTGGAATTCCAAAGTGAAATAACTTACAACAAACTAGGTCAAAGAGAGAAAGGCACAATGAGTCACGGCACGATGGACAATCTTACTGTACTATTGAAACATTTGACAAAAAAATACTTACCAAAGAGATTGAAAAAAAGGAAAAAAAATCAGAAAAACCAAGAAGTGTTTCCCTAATTTTCTTGATTAGAAAAATGTCTTTTGCATGTTTTTAACTTCAAAAACCCTCAAAGCAGCTGCTCTCCAATTAGAGGTTCTCAATCATCTGTTTGTCTGAGGTATACAGTATCCATTTTTCATTCAGAACTGATCCTGTAAATGTTTTGATCTACCCTCCACTATCGATGTCCGTAGGTCAAAAATACTAGGATGCCGCTAGACTTTCTGTACGGTAGATCAAAACTCCACTATGATGTAAACAATTAGATTATTCCCATCGACCACCCTTTTTTTCATTGAATATTAGTCATTTCTGTCTCTCTCGTTTTTCGCTCAAATCTTTTTTTTTTGCACAACTTGTCAATGTCAATAAACAATCGGGGGGTTACTGTAACTTTTTCCCATTCTCCCGTTTCTCAGAAAATAAAACTATGAATAATTCGTTTTATGACCGTCCTCCCCTCTCCCGTTTCTCTAAATCTCTCAACTCAATACAGTCTCTCACTGTATTCCCATTGCTCCTCCCCTTTTTCCATAATTTCTTGTTGTTTCAGTTAGATATGTACAGCTCAAAACATCGGGTCGCCCATCAAATCAGAATGCAGTCTGAAACGGAAAGTGCCGTGTTTGGACTCCTCTCGGAGGATCCATCTCTTCCACAATTCTCTCCACGTGTCTATTCTCTATTCAAGAAATCACAAAAACATGAGAAAAAACGGATTTCCAGTGAGGATGATAATCAAAAGAATCTGAAATTGAAGGCCAAATATTCGAGAGAAGATGCAATGTATCATCGAAAAGAAATGGAGGAAAGACGAAGAAAAGAAGAGGAACGAATGAAAAAATGGAGAGTCGAACAGAAGGAATTAGAAGAAATGGAAGAGGGAAAAAGAAGAAAAAGAGTCCGAATAGTCACTCAGGATCAGAATAAAATGGAGATTGAAGAAGAGTCAGAGGATGAGGAGTGGACTGCTTACTTGAGAAAAAATCTTCAAGATTTCAGAAAAGAGAAGGTAAGGTGTTCTGGGAAAACCTCTAATAAAAGGGGATTAAGGATGAAATGAGTGTTACCTTAAAGGCGCATAACATATAAATGTTATAATAATACAGTAACATGGTCAATCGTGACGAAACCTTTCTAAAAACGATTGACGCGATTCACCGCCCGCAGTGTTCGTGAAAAATATGGATGAGCATACGATAGTTTCTGATGTGCGCTAGAGCAAAGTTACTGCGAAATTAAAAACAATTCCGTGCACTGCGCAATTAATCGTTGAAATTCTGTCAAATCTAACATTGTGAAGGGCTCGGAAGGTCTCGCCGCGATTAGAAATACTACTGTATTTTTGAAAGATTTTCACAAAAACAAGACCTTACTGAACAATAAAAGTGACTTTGGCTATGTAACCCACGATCTTCATGAGCTTCATCATACTTCCCATAATTTCAGGAACTCCAGAAACAAGAAATCAGAAGAGTAAAAAAACAAAATCGCCAACAAAAAATGAAACAGAAGAAAAATGTGCGAAAAGAAATGGAAAAGAAGTTCAACTTGAATTTATATAAATACGACAAATGGAGAACATCCTCTTCTTCCACCCCAAAATATGCTCCGAATCCATTGACCACTGTTATGGATACACCTGTGGAATGCACAAGATTTGAAGATTTGATTCTTTCGGAATCCGATGAAGAGGTCGCCAAAGAGGTCCGTTTCGAAGATCTTGTTCTTTCGGAGACTGAAGATGAAGATGATGTTTTCGAAACTCCACGTCGTCCTGCTACTCACTTCTCCTCCACAATCTACACTCCAGAATCACCGACTTGCTCAACTCCCATCAATTCTAAGTCATTTAGTCGTATCTCGGAATCATTTCCTGCCTTGTTAACTCCTATTAGCTATTAGAGCCTGAGAATTAATTGTCTAGAGTTTGTATTAACTTGTCACTAATATTGAAACTATATTAATTGTATGTAAATATATAATGGATTTGAATTGTGTTGTATTTTAATTTAATGAATGGATTTAATGAATAAAGGGATTTTTAATGAAAAAAACAGAGTTTCAAATGTAAAAACAGATTCATTTCTTTGTATCGATGAATGACTCCCTTTGCCACACCGCAGAAAACCTGAAAATCGTATGAGCCAACGAAGAGCCATCTTCTTCCCATTAATTTCACCACCAAGAGTTTACTCGAAGGAACAACTTCGCTCCATTCTATTGGACTACTCCCCCTCTTCTCGACCAAGGTGACCCAAGTGTCTCTCTCTCTCTCTCCTCCTTTCTTCTGTTCTCTTTATCATACGTCACCTTATTCTTGTATTGAAATAAGGTACCCTCTCAATCTTTTTCTCTTGTTCGTAATTGTTAATTTTTTAAATTTCGGCTTTTATGAAAAACATTTTCATTCAAAAGGAGCAAATTTTAATGGTTATTCTATTTACCATCCAAGACGATCACCTCTTACCAGCTGATTGGAAGTTGAGAGATTCCGATCTCTTGAACAATGGTAAACTGAACAAGTGTCAACGACTTATGAAACAATCTAATACATATTCAAATTCCAAATACTGCACCATTTCAGTAATTGAGTCTTAGAAACATCCTCACCGCAAGAGAAACCATAAAACTTGTTGTTCTCTCCTCCTATTATCCTTTTTGTTTTTCTTTTCTTCGTGTCTCAATCTTAACTCTCGTCTACGTTTTTTTTCAACTTGTACTCCAGGGTAATCCGGCACAAACTCTAGAATTAAAGGCGAAGCAAAAAATGGTGCACCCTGCCCAGGGACGTGCGGTAGCACTTCTCATCGCCTTTATTATTTGGGGCCTTTGGCCATACCGCCTTCAAATCTTACTTCCAGCTGAAATGTTTAT